AATGTTTCTTTGCAAATAAGCATCATTATATCTAAAAAAAACAATTTTGAGAATTTGAATTTTTGCAAATAAGCAATTTGATTCATATTATACGATTCTATTTGTAAAAACAGTGGGAAAAGCAACACAAAAATTTTATATGTAGCTAGCTGCAGTTCAACGTAAACTCAGTTCTTCAGTTTGACTCAAAAACTTTATGTTAGACACAATTTCATCAACAAATAGGAGTTAGGAGTATACCCCATTTACCCAAATTTTTTCAACACTCAATACGTCTCTGTTTGGAAATTTTCATAATGCATTGCCGATCTTTAGATTTGTCTTTTTGAATGTTTAGTTTCGCTTGCTGGGATCAATATTTGCATGTAATAATGTATGTAAAATTCATCCAACTACTTGATTTTTTTTGTATTTTTTAGGACCCTTTTTCCGACGTTAAAAAGTTTTTTAAAATGATTGTTGAGAAGGCAAAGCGTGCAAGTCCTGTTCTGAGAAATTTAACTGGCTTCGATCGCTTGAGTATTTTTGGAATTTATTATATCCTTGAAAAGAAGTCCAATGGATCAAAGTTTGAGGTTTTGACTGCATCAGAGGCTAAAGATCATTTAACTATCTACAATTACGATAGCATTATGAGCATATATCGGCAATATGTTATTAACGTAAGTTACGTATTATTAATTCAATGTAATGTAAGTTATTGATAATGTTTAAGCCGCATATTTGGGCATATATTTATCAATGTGCTGCAATTCAACATAACAAACTCATCCATGCACTTGCATCTAGAAAGTTTCATGAGGAATATAATCAATTATTCAGCAATACAACTCGTCATAGCTTGATTTCTTGAAGCCCTTTTAAGTGCATTAAGGAAAATTTTTGATTTACTTTTTCGACAGCATAGCCTTGAAAGGTACGTGCACGAAGTTGAACTGGCTTTTGTCAGAGGTCAGCTTCCTGACCTAGCCTGTTACAAACGGACAAGCAACAATACTATCGACGCCAATGAAATCATTCCAAAAATATCTGTTGTTCATTTTGAAAATATCGGTGAAGAGGTTGTCATTAAGGTATCTGGTAACAACATGTGGTTCGTACACCAGATGTCTGTCACAAAAGTTGATTTTGATGGTGAAAATTTGCCCGTGGACTTCGTTAGATCATCTGGTTCTCAAGTTCAAACAAGAATAAAGAAAAAGAGCATCACCTACGAAGAAAACGTATGTGTTCGGATGAAGACACATTTCGAAAACTCCAAGTATCTTGAGTCATTTACTGTTCCTGCAAAGACAACGGTAAGTGAAAATCATGAATTGTCAAGTAATTTGCACGGGCTATAAAAGTATACTGGTCAAAAATTTATGTTGAATGAATTCGAACCTAAAATATGATAAATTGAAATTGACCAGGGTTTGGGTTGAAATCCTGGTAATTTCAGAATCACTTAAGCAGGATACTGGTTGAAGAAAAATTGAAAATCGCGAAGCACATACTTAATACGGTAGAAAAAGTTAAAATTGGTTTAATTTAACAAGGAATACTGGTTGATCAATTTAACCAGAATAGCGTTGGTCAACTTTACCATATAGTGTTGGTCCATATGAAATAATTTCTTGGTTGAAATTTCACCCCAGAGTGTGCGTGTCTTCATCTCCTGACAAATGATTACACAATTAATCCTCTTCATTAAATAATTTAATTTTAGACCTATTCTATAACTCGAAGACAACAACAACTTGCCAAACTTCGTCCTTCCGAAGTTATTGAATTGGCGTATATAAGTGCTCTGCTGGAGAAAACGCATCAAGCTAATTGCTCCATTAAAATGAAATCGATCCAAGACTTTTTAAAAAATGCTGTGTCTGTGGTACCAATTGAAAGTCTTTTTTATACTATTGTCGAGAGTGAACTAAATGTAATGCTGGATTGCTGCCAAATACTGTCTGATTGCCAAAGTATTCCAATGGCGGTTGCAGACTCCGAATTTTCAGAAAATGCTATAAAAAATGCATTGTTTCATTTGCGTTCTAATCAATCTATGATGAAGAGCGTTCGTCCTGATTTGGCTCCTAGTGACAAATATTTTGCCTTTAGGCTTTTGCATGCACAACTCAGATATCCATTTTACATGTTTCAAAATGATAATTCTCTTAAACAAGTATTTATCACACGAGTTCCATGGGAAAGGGTTAATCCTTTACTCAACAAGGGTATTTCTCGCGTTCTTACAATTCTAAAGCGTTCAAAACGACGCCGCAAAAGAAATTCTGCAAGGAAACGAGTGCTTCTCTGTAAAACTGATCTTAAGGTGCTTTTTCCATCTTCTGAGTGCCAAGACAAAGAAAAAACAAACACGTGTATTAGATCGCCAATAACTTTGCTGATTGAAGGGAAAAAAGTAATTGAAGAGTTAAGCGAAGAATTAACATCAGATGTTTCTTCTTCTTCCATGAACAGTAAGATGCTGGATACTTTAAATATTTTACGGACTGAATTCAAAACCTGTAGCAGCTTGCTTGGCGCTTTCATGCAATCTCAAGTGCAGATTCCTCTTGCAAAAGCTGGTAGTGATAGTTATGTGAATGAGTTGGCGAAACATGCTAATTCATTTGGATTATCCGTTTGGGGACTGCTGATAATGCCTTTCAACTATTTGGAGCGTATGATGAAATCATCTGATGAGTTTGAACAGCTTTTTATAAAATTTTCTCATCGCATTAATGATGTTCGCCAGTTTATTTCCTCTGCCAAAAGGTATCAGTTTCCTGACTACGATGAGAAGTTAGAATTTCTTGTTGGTAGCATGAAACAAGGGGTTACTTGCAATCAGAAGTGTATCAGTTACTCTCTCGAACGCCAGATGGAGCGTCAGTGTAGTAAAAGGAACATATTTCATTACACATCAATAGAAAGTATTCTTCAACAATGGAACGCTAATTTTGAGAACGAAAATTTAACGTTTGTACCGAATGAATATCGCCCACTGGTTGCTCGCTGGATTAAATGGTCTTTGATGATTAATAAACTTCGGGAGACGTTAGCCAGTCAAACTTCTATTGGTGTTGTTGGACTGATAAACTCTGGAAAATCAAAACTTGTTAGCTCAATGTTTGAAGTAATGGTAAGCACTGTTGTTGAGGTCAACATTTATCCATTTTATCTCGTTTGTTCCACTACCTTTGTGTGTGATTGGGTCATTGAAAAATGGCTAGTGTTGTTGTGCTATTGTGCATATTTATCGATCCTTTGATACTTTTTAGAGCTTTAATTAAGCGACATTAGTTTCATATAGGTTTTATTAGTCGTTTGTGGTTATAATAATATACTTTGATATATTTCTCGACTCTGATTGGTTCATTACAGTGCAATTAATCTGTAATTGTACTTTGAAAATGTGTAGTTGTACTGCAAATTTCCCAATCTGGTTGGCTGAATAGTAGTGAAAGCCAAAAAGAAACTTCTTTTCAATTCAAAAAAAAAAACATAGCAGCAGTTGTAAGTAAACACAGATTTCCACAATTGCAATCATTTGAAACTCAAAAATTAGCTACAAAAGAGTGCAAAGAATAGAAATAAAACAGCAAGCACTGCTTTTTTTTAATGAATGTTTTTAACAGTTATGCCGCGTAACGAGGCATTTATGAAGCGATCGAGACAGAGTTGAACGACACAGTCAAGAAATATCTGAAAGTATGTTGTTAGTAAGTAATAGTATAGTTTCTCGTACAATTACGGCTAAACATACATTCGTGAGTTTTTAATAGACCTCAAGTAGCACTCGTCCTTTGGACTCGCCCTATTTCGCTGCAGTTTTTAAAAACACACTCGTGCATGTTTATACGTCATTGCACTGGAAACTATACTATTATCTATACTAATAGTTCCATTACGTTTGTCATAGTAAAGAAAACGGCTTAACAATTATATGTGTGTTGTAGACGGTGACTGGCACCACAGATCAGAAGCGAACCACCGTTCCGTTGATTTACAACTTGGATGAGCACTTTAAAGGTTTAGATATCATTGATTTTCCTGGTGTGGATGATCGTGATGAGACAATTCCTGAGTTGGCGAAATTATTGTTAAGTTTGACTCGGATTGTTGTATTTGTTGTTGACTACAGGTAACGTGGCTTAAAAATGTTTGGTAAAATATTAAGTCAAAGAACAAATTTTTTATTTGATTGACCAATCTTATTGTTTGGTTTCATCCTAGAAAAGCTCATTCCGAGTCATCAAAACAATGGCTTTCCATACTCGAGAAAGAAAACGTACCTGTTCTTGTTTGTTTAACATTTGGTGACAGACTTTTTGTTGAATTAATGGGTAAAAAGGGAAATTATGACGTTGACGCGATAAAAGCGGGCGTGGAAAATGAAGTGGAAGTACTAGATAAGTTCTTTGTTGATAACTATCTAATATAAACGTTTCGTCCATTTATTGGCTTGCGTTTTCCTTAAATTGGTCTTTAAGCTGAACTATTATATGTTGAAGCTTTTACAAATCACACGTAGATATTTGTGTGCAAGTACTCACTCTTATTTTAACTTTGCGAAATGTAGCGAATATCCGGTTAAATTGAAGATGTTTACTTGACATGGACATTTATTTATATTTAGACAATAAAAATGAACATTGGATTTCCAGAAAGCAGCCATCAACGTGATTTTAAACTGTCAGTGTTGTCCTTTGACTACGATTCCTACCTCAATTCTGAGGAGTGGAAAGCAAAGCTGCGTAAAGTTGGTCTTTGTGATGAACTTGATGTGGGTCTTTGGATCGCAGAGAAATTGGAGGATCAGTACGAGCTCCATGATCTCTCACAGACTATTTTAAAATATATCGAGAACAAAGAAAGCAGCACTTTACATCCATATCTGGTAATTTAGCTTAAATATAATTCAATCATATCAAAAAAAATACATTTTTTATCGATATTTGTTTTTCTTAGAAAGTACCTTTATTTTTAAAGCAAAACAAGGAAACGATAAAGACTAAAAAACAAGGAAAAAGTGGGAAGAAAGCAAAAGAAATGGAGTGAGTATGAACATATTATAAACCTATCATTTAACACAGGTTGCACGTCATTTCATGTTGACTACGAGATATATGAACATGCCATATCTATAGGTAGACGGGTTATAATGTGGCTTCGATAATTGTATCGGCCAACATTCATGTATTGATTTACAATCATATATTTTAATTGATGCATTAGGCTCATTTGAAATCAATTGCTTTCTACCAATTATAATTTTTTATAATTAGTTGACCGAAAAATTGTACATTTTAAATTTTTAGAAAATGAAATCAATTCATGAAGATTTTTATCAAACAATCGAGCATCTGTAACCTGTAACAATCGTTGTTAACGGAAACATGCGTTTAATTTACAATTTACAACTATAGTACTCTTTACATAGTAAATGAATTTGACTCACGTGTTATTTTTCCAATATAATAAGATGACGATGCTTTCAATGAAACAGAAGTGTTGATACGTGAGAGCACATTCATCCATCGAAACTTATTCAATGTGTTAATGGTTTGAAAATTCTATATCTAAATTATATTTTAATGAAAAGAAAGGTTTTCTTTAGCAGAGAACGCACGTTTCTATTTGTTTTCAATTTAAATAGGTTTTTCATCTTTGATTTGTTCATTTTGCATTGCATAATGAACCGTTGGAACATATCAAATATCCTTCGCTTTCCTTGAATGCAAAGTTTTGCACGAATGCCTTGAGTTTTAAACCATCGACACTTTACAACAAAGTGAACACAATGGTGACAAAAATTCAGTTGAAGAAGGTGGAGGTCAAAGCATTTTTTTTGAACCAAAAGTTTAAAACTTTTCGCCCAGAATTTTTTGCACAAAAGTTGTATCCGAAATTCCTTGATTTGAAACAAAATGTCATAAATTATTTTATTTATCTGTTTTTAAAGATCGATTCACTGAAATTAGGATCGATGGAGGCGTTCGTTGTGTATATATAACAACAGCAAGCGCACAGAAGAAAGTACATTAAAGATAATTAAGTCTGTGAATGAATTGCCCATTGGAATTCCTCGTGCCCCAACATCATATTTCTCGTCTTCAATATACATTTAGTTGTTTCACATTTCCCAAATAACTTAAATCTCCAACGAATTATCAATTTTATACAAAAGGTACATTTAGTGCAATGTATCCTGTTAATGTAATGTCATACACAAATTAACAGGACTCATAGTAAGTAGTACTAACTACTAACTAAAATGCCAATCTATATCTTTTGCCAATCTATAGTCATTGTCTGATAGACGCAAAGTATGCAAAAGTGGATTACTGGGAATATAACCTCTGCATTACTTGTGAGAATGTTTTTAAAATTTAATGATTTTCATTTCAACAAGGCAAACGTTTTCCTGCCTGGTCATGCAAACCATTTTGGTAGCTGTGTGAAATTTTGAGTTATCCTGTTAAAATATGTTTTCTACTCGTTTAAACTGACGAAGAGGTGAAAAATGTGATTTCGACTAAATATTTCTACTCCTGTAAATGCATAGAATCCAATTGTAGCCTTGCATTTCTTTCAAACCCAAAGGAGTGTTCAAAGGTGTGATGACCTGTGTTGTGACCATGAAGAGGCTGATACACAAGTGTTATTACATGCATCTCATGCAACAACATTTCAGAACATTGTTATCAAAAGACCTGATACTGATGTTTTTATTTTATTGACATATTTTTGTTTAGATATAAATCTGCCACATTTTTTTTAACTGGCGCTAAAGAAAATGCTAGTCTCATGCATGTTGCCAAAATTGTCAAGGTTTGAGTAAAAGTAAGTGCAAGGCTTTAATTGGATTCCCATGCATTTACAGGTGAGTATATGAATCTTATAAAGTCCAGGCAATTTAAAAAATTAGCACTACTCATTAAGAAAACCTGGTCTCATTACTAGGTTTCTTTGAAATAATTTGAAAAATAATTAGTATTCATTTGTTTTTATTGGTATGCTCTGACACAACCAGTTTGTTTTGTGGACATAGTAATGTGTCCAGTTGTAAGCTTCTGTCAGAAGATGCCCAAGTTGTCAAAGCTCTTCGAGAACTTGGAGAAATATTTTGTAAGCACTAAAGAACTTCACAAGAGTCTGGAGGAGGTAAAATGTAAGATTTACCACTCAATGGCATGGGGGAATGGGAATTGTCATTATATTGTTATTTTTATATATCTATCACATTTATATTCTCAGCATAGTTTTGAGAGATATATCCACGAGGTTGAGCTGGCTTTGCTTCAAAGTCTTCCTGATCTCAAGCCATTCAAAGAAAATACGAAATGGGCCACAGCATCAAATAAAATTGTCCCCGAAGTAACTGGCGTTCGTTTCGAAACTATCGGCGAGGAGATCATCATCAAAGTGTTTGGGAATGAGATGTGGTTCGTGTATCAGTTATCCATCGAGAATGTCGAATTTCCTGGTAGGAACCTACCTGTAGACGTTATGAAATCTTCTGGATCAGAAATTCAGACAACAATCAAAGTAAAGAGCATTTGCCACGAAGATCAAGTTAACGTTCGTTTGAGAACGCATTTTCAATGCAGCAAACATCTCCCTGCATTCCAGGTTAAAGCAAAAACCACGGTTAGTAAAATAAAGGTTATGCTGATTTTCTAAAAAAATAATTTTTAACTTTATATTGCAATTCATAATTGCTTTTTAGACGTACACAGTTACAAGAAGGTAGCATGAAGAAAGGAGTTACATGCAACAAGAGTTACATCAGTTATTCTCTCGAACGGCAACTTGAGCGCCAATGCAAGAAGAGGAACATTTTTCACAACACTCCAATTGAAAATATTCTTCAACAATGGAATGCTAACTTTGAGGAAGAAACTTTGACGCTAGTGCCATACGAGTACCGTCCACTGATTGTTCGATGGATCAGATGGTCATTAATGATCAATTACCTTAGAGAGAGTTTAGCCAAGCAGTGCGCAGTCGGTGTTGTGCGACTGGTTAATTCTGGGAAATGAAAGTTTGTCAGCTCCATGTTTGAAGTACAGGTAAGAACTTCTATTACTTTTTCTGAGATAAAATATGTTTCATGAAAATACCCCCATAATATTGATCTTTTGAAACATTTGTTTTGAGAACATCCATGAAAATTGATCTTTCTACGTTAGACAGCGAGTGGAACAACTGATGAATGACGTACCACAATTCCTTTGATTTATAACTTGGATGAACACATCAAAGGTTTGGATGTCAGATTTTCCTGGTGTGGATGATCGTGATGAGTCAATTCCAAAAATTGCTGAATTGCTGTTTTGTTTGACTCGGATTGTCGTATTTGTTGTCGATTACAGGTGACGAGGCAGAATTCTACCTTAGCATTGTTTGACCGAAATTGAAATCTTCAACCAAAATAATTGAAGTTTTATTTTTACGGTTTTTAACTTCACTTCGATTAAGAGAACATAAATTCGTAGAATACAATGAAAGTTACAATCGTGAATTTCTCACAACACCTTGGTTTGTAGTGACTATTTATCACACAAATGACCATAGTTCGACCCCTTAAACTACCACTGTCTGTTTTTATTCAGTGCATCAAGACTAAAATTGGATTGCCAGAAAGCGGTCATCAACGCGACTTTAAACTGGCTGTGTTTGCTCTTGACAATGATTCCAAACTTAATTCTGACGAGGGGAAAGCAATTCTACGTAGAGTTGGTCTTTGGGATGAACTTGACGTGGGCCGTTGGATTGCGGAGAAATTAGATGATGAATATGAATCACAGGAAATCTCACAGAATATTCTCAAATACATAGAGAACAAGAAAAGCAGTACTATAGACTCGTGCAAGGTTGGTGCATTATTCAATCTAAAATGATGTGTCTAAATTTAAAAGGGTAATCATTTAAAGGAACTAATTTGGAAAAAGCGAATTTATTTAAATAACTTTATATAACTTTTTATTACTGTCTGTTGTTTTCAACATTTAGCTACAAAACTAAACTTTCTAATAATTGATAATTTCAATTTTTTATCTTAAGTAACCACGTGTTTAAGTGTATCTAAGAAGGAAAACTAGTTCATAAAAAATAAAGTCATAGCAAAGAAGAATGAAAAGAATTGAACATGTTGAAGCTTCTAAGTTATGTTTTTTCAGTTGTCGCCATTTTTGTTCAAGGTACTTTTGTTCCTCCAAGTTGTGTGTATTTCATTCGTTATATATAATCATCTCAAATAGTTTTGCTGTTTTCTTACTTTGTAATTTTGACTAAATAAGAGGCAATGCATGATCACGTTTCGTGTAAATAATCAATGGCGCAGCATTTTTTTTGGAAAAATCATTCAAGACCCTTTCATTTTTTGTGGGGTTGCTACAATTGTTTATTACTTTTATGGACACTTAAATTTGTGAATTGTTCCTTATTTTGTGCGTTTGAAACAGCAATCTCTTCACTCATCAGTTTTATGAGTTCTTGACCGAGTTCTTGACGTGCTACTGCAAAGAATTAGCAATTATTTATCATAAATTTGGAATATCGGGCAGTTTTTTTATCGAAAAAGTATGGAACTATGAGGTTTGTGTTTTCAAATCTTTGTGAAAAAATCCTGTTTCATAAAGAGAGAAAGATTTTAATGGTAGGAATGAAGGGTGTAATTATGGACAGCGCAATGTTAATAATTACGGAAGGGGCTATATTCATATATGCATGTTCTACTTTCTTAGTTTGCATTAACATCAATTGTGATTACGGTATATTACTTATAAAGGACCATGCCCCAATGACCGATTTTGTGCAGTATGTATTATATTGAAGATAAAAGTTGATATATTTGTTAATATAACATTGTGCCACTTCTTTGTTCATCATGAGGCTAATTACTGGAAAATTATTGATTTAATACAGGTTATGTATAATTTAATGTGTGATCTTTGAGCGAGTTGAAACGGAAAAGCTGAGCTTGATTCTTGCTAGGATCTTCACAGTTCATTTGCAATAATGTGTGCTCGAGCCATTTCTTTTCTTTTTTCTCTAAATATGATCTTGTGCGTAAGATAAACTGTTTACAACATTTATGAACAGTATGATTCCTCTTCTTATATGTGGCTTGCAAAAGAATGTTTTATCAATGATCATTTTTGCTATTGCACGTGGACTCCAGCTAGGATTAGCGAATGTTTTTGGTGTAATCAAGAAGGTTTTCTTAGTGGAATAGCTTGGCCATATTTTGTGTAGAAATTTTTGTTAATCAAAATCAATTAATGATTCAGAAAATGTTCATTCAAAAACAATGAAGATGTATTTTTAATGAATGCGTAGAAAGAGTGAGAACTTCTCAAAGTGTTTGGTATTGCGCTTTATTTAAAATTCATATTTATACAAACCGTTTTCATACTGGTTTTGCTTCCATGCTTCACTTTCAAGCTCGTCATTCTAGCTTCTCCATGTTAATATGGATTCATCTATCTGTCTAGTCAAATAAATCTCTAAATTTACTTCCTTTCTTCTTGTTTGTATTTACGTCATCATAACACAACAGGTTCTTCTTTAAATTTTAAAATTTACAATACTCAGAGAAATAACTGACGAGATACCAGCAAATTACCACAACATACAATCACTTGCGAAAACTTCTCTCTCAACATCTGATTTTGCATTTTCTTTCGTGTTTGATTTGTATTCCATATATTTGGATCCTTTTTTAACAGTTAGCTACTTTTTGCATTTAGTCAAATTCAAATTTCATTTTTTTTAGTTTTCTTTAGCAACATCAGGAGAGTATAGTATCGACAAATGTATTTACTGTATTGACAAATTTGCCACTAAACATAAGAAACCATTATCGAACTACTTAAATTTCTGTGTATTTTTCGTCTTGTTCTTCTTTACTTGTGTTTCATATCTGTCTTATTTTTGTACATTCTTTTGTGATTTTTTTCTACACTAGTGTTAAAAAGCCAAATATTTTAGCAAGACTAAAACGAAATTCTGAAAAGATTACCATTATTCATTTCTTTGGAAATCTGTTGTTCTCACGGTCATTGAACATAAAAATATTCGCATAGCGGGTGTAAAAAGTTGCGCAAAATGTAAACAATTCTTCCTACCATTATGCCAACTTTTTTTCTGTTTTTGTGTATTTTTTGTATTCATTTTCTGTCCATATTTATAGAACAACAGCACCAACAAATATCAGAAAATTTTTTAACTGGTTAACAAAACCTACCTACCACTGTTTCCAAATATAGGGTCTATTATTATTTATTGTACATCTTTTGTATATTTTCTGTCTATTTCTGTTCTTTTTTATTGTTTTGAAAGTCTTTACACGATGTTAGTAATGAGTTTGCTATTGTTTCAACTGCACTATTGAATATCAACAAGGGAATAACGGGTAACGTGACTGACGTCAAACATTCACAACGATGTTGCTTGAAGTGTCTGAATTGAAATGACAACGGCTTATCAATGGATTAATTCATTTAATTGCGATTTGGGAGAAGTAATCAACACTGGAATTTGGAATTAAGGCTTCTCATTACTTCCCTGTTTGAGTTCAGCCTTTGCAAAATAGTGACCGTCCGATCATTTTTTATTGCACTGACTATTAATTGCTGGTGCAGGAATACAAAGTAAGAGTTATTAAGTTTCCTTCAGCGCTTTGCAGTGTGTGGTACGAGCATTTGCAAACATCTTGAGATGTGAAGCACAAGGAATCATATTTCAGTTTGGTATCTATGTTTGAGCAAGGGAATTTAAATATCCCATTACCACAGCGTGAGCAAAAGGTATATATATTTATGTATGTGTATTTTTAATTTAAAATCTCTGCCACGAAAATATATAAAATTCTATGATATCGAAATGTAAGTCTGTTATAAGTAAGTTTTTCCAACACTCTTGAATATACTTTAGATGAAAAAAAAGAAACTGGTGAAAGTGGCAAAAAAGAAAAAATTCAAACATATTTAGCCATGGATTGGGGTATGCATGTCATGCATGTTAATGTATAGCATGTATGTGTTCCTGCAGGAATTGTCATTGCACTATGACGATGGCCTGGAGGGCACATTGTGATACATATTGTATATATATATATATATACATTTTTTCATTAACTGAACAGTCAATTATCAACCATTTATATTGGGTTGGCAACTCAAGTGAAACCCCAGATGAGAGGGAAGAAAGGTGGCGCAGTATTCTCAATCACATTGCTAATATTCATGAGCATAATGGTCACAAGCTATTTACAAAATGCCTTCATGAAACAATTGTAGAGCTTGGCTAAAAAAAGGTTGAGTAGATAGTATGGACTACAATTTAGAAGTTTAATTCATGCCTCAAAATTTTTTTTACTCATCTATACAACAGGGTCAGCTGCTAACAAAAAATTAGAGGAGATGTTGACAAGGCCTTGACTAATTGCAGAAATTCAAAAGTTATCCAAGTATCACCAGACATCAGGCTTAGAAGCCAAACATGCTTTGGATAATATGCTTGCCTCAAAGAATACTCATCATTCATATCACTCATTGAGTGCAAGGTATGTTATTCAAAAATCCACTTAAAATTTGCAATGCAATTAAAATATCTTAAAGAGGATAAAATATGGACATTTCAATATTGAAGAAAGTTATCATAAATTGGGATTTTTCAACTTCTGTATCAAGATAGACTGTACTGTTCAAACTTGCACCACAATGAGAACAGCAACAGACCACAAGCAAAAACTGCAGATGGAAACTTGAGATGGGCAATTACCTATCCAAAATCTTTCAAAAAAGAAAAAGCTGTGGCAAAACCTTAGAAGGAAAAACCCACCTATGGTAGGAATGATATCATTCAATAACAAATAAAGCAAGAAAATTTCATGATATAAAAAAATAGTAGTATAATCAAAAGGCTAAAACATTTTAGTCATAGTTTCTCTAAAAATAATATATAATAATCCCATTTAGGATATGTGCAGTTAATATTGAATGAAGTTGTAAAACTAAGAAGCCAGTACTCGACTTTGAAGAAGGCCAAAGCACATGCAGATATGATGCTACCTCCTGAACCACAATCCCTTGTCGAACAGTATTTGGCAGGAAAGGAAAGACCCTCAAATGAGCAAATTGAAGCCAACAAAAAAGCAAGATATAGTACACCAGCTCTACCCGAAAGTTCACAAGGGAGCAGACCTCACACAAATATTTGTAAATGTAAAGGAAAATGTGCCACCTCAACGTGTGATTGCAGTGCATTGGGATTGTTATGTCAAAATAAATGCAAATGTAGAGAGGCGAAGTGTATCAATCGAGAGTAGAGTTCAAACATAAATTTATTAAAAAATAAAATAAAATATTACTGTTTAGATATTTTGGCGTATTAAAAATGTGTATAAAGTCCGTCTGGTGACGCGAAGCGTTTTCGTATGCTAGCATCAATACAAGCAGGAAATGGTCTTCGATGTTTATTCCCCCAAATTTGAAAAATCCACCTAGAACATCTTTGATATGCGACTAATCGATACAGCTCGTATATTCTCTCCAGATCCTCATCAGACAGGGGCCAATTTTCTTCAAGATACCGACACACGTCTATCTTTAACAAACTTTCTGACAGAATATTGTCCCTAAATTCTTGGTGTGTTGTCAAGCAATACTCTCCTTGAGTTTTTATTTGGCCTAGCAAAGCCTCGTACTCATCGTATTCAAGCGCTTTTTTTTGTGGCAACAAAAAACACTCGATTGCCTTTTTCGACAAAGTACAATGTCCACATTTACACCAACTTAGAGCTCGAAGGAGCCAAGTAATTGCTCTCTCAAATTCAGCATGTATTTCATCCTCCGACGAGAACAAGTCGCTCTGCTCACTCTCCTGTTCGGAACCGTTTTCTTCGCTTGTTTCGGCCATTCCATTTATTCAAATATCGAGTTTACTGGTATTTATTTAATAAACTTGACGAGTCTCTTCTTGGCGATGAATTATTCAAGTTTTCTTGCGACGAAATCAAGGATGAGCTCAATAAAAAGATTTCAGCTTTGAAGACACTTGAGAAAACATGCAAAGAACCAAAACCCCAATCTGACCTCGAAGTCATGATTTCTGAAACAGACCTGTTTGATGCTATCCACATTCATCATACCCGAGGTTTTCTCGCGACGAAATCAAGGAGCAGATTGGAAAAAAGATTATAAATTTAAAGAATACGCAAGAAATGGAGCACAAGCCTGAAAAGAAGCCTAAATCTCATCTGGAAGAGTGGATATCTACAACAAAGCTGTTCGATGAAATTCACATTCACCATTCGTTGCTGTGTTGTCAACTTGCGTACAGCTGTAAAGACCCCGAATACAGAATGAACAACCTTGAAGAAATAGAGAAAAAACATTTACTTAGCAATGTTTATGTTTCTTATGAAAACGAGGACGTTCCTAAATATGTGATGGCAGAGTGTGGTAATGTTATCTATGTGAGCTTCAAGAGACTACAGTCTTACACCTGGCCCCGCTTGAAACTAACTATAGAGGTGAAATTTATTCATGTAAGTGTAGAAGTGTGCAGGAATGGCTGTAGTGGCCAACTGATCGGTCGTAACTTTGAGAGTGAAGTAATTATGAAAATTTGCCTTCAGATATCAAAGTATAATGTTTTGCGAAGTGAAGTGAGGCGTGAGTGTTTAGAAATGGTTTAGAAATTTGAAACGCATGAAAGGTGTCATGTTTCATTGCATGAAAAAGAACAAAAGAAGATTTGGATAAAAATCCCGATTACATTGTTTCATGTACACCTGTAGCAGCCTTGTACCCAGGCGCTTTGATGTTTTGCTTTGAATTAATTGTCGTTTATGCAGGAGTGAGAATAAACGTGTAAACCATGCATTGCTTTTGATCACATAAATTGATTTTATAGTGAACAGCCATAGGGTTTATGCCCAGACATAAAGTCATAAAGTAAAAGCTAAATATTTTCTTTATGAACGATGCTAAGTGTAATCAGATGGGTGATTTGATGAAAAACATAATGGATGTTTCTAATTTCGTCCCTGACATTGTTATTTGTCTAACTTGCCTAATGGTTGCAGCCAGGCGCGGATCCAGCTCCTTAGCTGACCGATGCATTGCGAGCGCCGAAGGCGCGAGCCACCGCTAGGGGGGGTCTGGGGGCATGCTCCCCCAGAAAATTTTTGAATTTTCACTATCCGAGAAGCATTTTCCAGCGATTTGGGAAAGGTGACAGAAAAAATCTTAAGCGTAAATTTTATCGAAAAAATAACATGAGCCGTCTTTTGTAAGATAACAGCATTGATAAAAGCAATGTTCAAAGATGGTCTTCTTCTAACGGCAAATCAGAAATCAGAAGAATTCAAAACTTAAATGTCTGACAGGGTTATTTGGAAAAGAAAATGTTAGCTTCTACTGAAGTCATAAGTATATTGGAAGAAGGAATACAGTCATTACATTTTTAATGTAATCCATACAATACATAAACTAAAATGCAACTAAAATCGCACCTACCCCTGCCATGGCCTACTTAAATTACACCGCCTGATATCTTGCCATAACAAGGTCAAAAATGCAAGGCCATTGAATTTTCCGGCGGTGCTCTTCGAAATTTTGATCTTCTTCCTTCAAAATTGTTCATTGGCCTTACTTTATGGTATAATCTTGTAGCTAAAAGTCTAGCGATCATTTCAAGAGTTTATTGGCTGAAATTGGTCCTTTTTTCGCCGAGAAATCAAAGTTTATAAATTGGTGCGATCGGCGGTTGTTTTGTTTATCACGCGCTCGTCTTCGAAAATTTTAGCTCTTAAATCTATCGTGGATTATCTATATTTGGTATCTACGTGTTCCTGGTACTCTCCTTTACATTTCTACAAGATTTTTGGAGTCGAATTGTATACATTTTTTCTTTTATTTACGAAAATCTTCAAACCCATAATTATAGCGATGGTGCTTCCTATTTTCAACGGTGTCCTTCCTACTCCAACTACGCCTAAGAAAATTTCATCAAATCCAAACGATTTCATTGGTAAATCATACTATCCCTTACCTTTTCAAGCTTACTCGTTAATTGGAAATCTTGGTATTGGTTCTTCTCCATCCTGGGACATCAATATAAACAATAAATCGATCAAACTTAAAATAGAATGGTATGTTGAAAAGAACAATAACAGTTCTCACAAATTCCCAAAATCTCTACTTAACATACTATCAGCCTAAAACCTTGAACAACCTACCTGGTCCTCCTCCTTTGCTGAAGAGAAACTGTCTTTCAAGTTTGAATGGAAACTACTCTCTGATGCTACTAACCAACCTGAACAAGTTAAAACTCCATCTACTAACTTACCTTTCCATACTCCTGACTCTGGCTATACATCAACATCTAAATCGTATGTATATTCACCACCTGTGAGATGAAGTCTTTTTGTTAGTTGAGTCAGGAACATGTATTGTGTTGTGTTTAGGTTTGTCCTTGGATTTAGTTTGTATAGATGGAGTATTTTTCCTTTTATGAGGAAAAGTACCTTAAAGTAAATGGTTTGAACCCGGGAGTATCGTTATATGTTTGTAAATGATGATCGTCCAGGTTAATAAAGACCTGAGAAGGACTGTTTTTGTTGTTGTTGACTAACGTTTCGACAACCTTAGCGGTAGTCATCTTTAGAGTCAAATGAGGAGTAAATGTCAGGTTAGGAGCTAACCTGACGTTTACTCCTCATTTGACTCTGAAGATGACTACCGCTAAGGTTGTCGAAATGTCAGTCAACAACAACAAAAACAGTCCTTCTCAGTACTTTATTAACCTGAAAAGTACCTTGATGGTAAGGAGTGTATGGAAGAGTGAGAGGATTTAGAAAAGCAGCAGCATGATTGTGGAAGAGTTTGGTAGGAGTTGTAAGATTGGGTGGTGAATATACATATGATTTAGATGTTGATGTATAGCCAAAGTCAGGAGTATGTAAAGGTAAGTTAGTAGATGGAGTTTTAACTTGTTCAGGTTGGTTAGTAGCATCAGAGAGTAGTTTCCATTCAAACTTGAAAGACAGTTTCTCTTCAGCAAAGGAGGAGGACCAGGTAGGTTGTACAAGGTTGTAGGCTGATAGTATGTTAAGTAGAGATTTGGGAAATTCATGAGAACTGTTATTGTTCTTTTCAACATACCATTCTATTTTAAGTTTGATCGATTTATTGTTTATATTGATGTCCCAGGATGGAGAAGAACCAATACCAATATTTCCAATTAATGAGGAAGCTTGAAAAGGTAAGGGATAGTATGATTTACCAATGAAATCGTTTGGATTTGATGAAATTTTCTTAGGCGTAGTTGGAGTAGGAAGGACACCGTTGAAAATAGGAAGCACCATCGCTATAATTATGGGTTTGAAGATTTTCGTAAATAAAAGAAAAAATGTATACAATTCGACTCCAAAAATCTTGTAGAAATGTAGAGGAGAGTACCAGGAACACGTAGATACCAAATATAGATAATCCACGATAGATTTAAGAGCTAAAATTTTCGAAGACGAGCGCGTGATAAACAAAACAACCGCCGATCGCACCAATTTATAAACTTTGATTTCTCGGCGAAAAAAGGACCAATTTCAGCCAATAAACTCTTGAAATGATCGCTAGACTTTTAGCTACAAGATTATACCATAAAGTAAGGCCAATGAACAATTTTGAAGGAAGAAGATCAAAATTTCGAAGAGCACCACCGGAAAATTCAATGGCCTTGCATTTTTGACCTTGCTGTGGCAAGATATCAGGCCGTGTAATTTAAGTAGGCCATGCCCCTGCATATTACAGTTTGTATTATATTACATATGAATACAAGTATAAGTGCTGCATAAGTAATATGACATCGTGTATATTTTATGATGATTGTTCGTCGTTATCTACACGACTACACTCTGAGTCTGAAATGAGTACACTATTTACATTTAAAACATGCAAGCATAAAGGTAAATTTACTTACTTTAAAGCTCTTAGTTCTCCACTTTGCCAATGAACTGTCAAGTGCTTAGGTATTAACATTTCACTTGACATATCTCTCCCATTTTTACCCTTTGAAAAGGGATTCCAAGGAGAGGATTTTGAAATAAAAGTAGCAGCTCTCGTTTCATAGGTTCGACGCACTCCATTAATATCAAATGACTTCTCTTCTCGAAGCAGAGTACACAGATCGTGTTTGATATTCTCGACAGCCATGACTTCGATCGATGATTGCGAGTTATATCAAGTGATCAAATAACAATGCATTCAACTTTGAAGTTCAAAGTTGAATGCATCGGTGCCATGCCCACAATCACAAAATTATGGAAAATGCATCGCTCAGCGGCAAAATCTACCGTGACGTGAGGCCCTAAAACAATGGTTTTGCTGATGTCACAGTAGATTTCACGCGAAAAGGACTCGGGACCGATGCATCGACCGATGCATCGCAAATCTACTGTGACGTAGCGATGCCTCTTCCATCTACCGTGACGTGATGGCAGAATACTATTAAATTACTTACTAATTATGTATTCACGACAAAATTTCGCTAAATTTTATCGACTTTTCTTTCGCTATTTGTGTCATGGAATACGACAAAATTATCGGAGAACACAAATGTTATTTCTAGACCAAATTTTAGCTTAAAACTGCTAAATCTATAAGTTAACTAAACAATATATCACTGTCAAATGTGCGTTTTAAATAATTCGAAAATAATATTTGCTATTTATTTCATTAAAATGCAAACTCGCAGATTTTAATATCTAAATATTTTGACCGATGCATTCGCATCGGTTGCATCGGTCTAGATCCGCCCCTGGTTGCAGCTGATTTTGATCAAAACATTAAATCTTGTCTATATAATGTACTTGTAATAATCTAGAGAAATTTTGAAAAATTTTTCTTAAAAAACATGTTTTAAGATGTGAAAAAAAAAGCTGAGAAAATCCCTTTGAAGTATTTCGTCAGAGCATTTTTTCAAAAGAAACGGATCATTTTTTCAGATAAATTGTGAGATTTGAAATTCAAAATAACTTTTATTAGTTGCACAGACACACCAACAATTTAAATCATTTCTTGACAATTTGATCAGATTCTCTGTAGGTTTGGCTTAGTATGGCCTATTTATAGTTGATAGCTATCACAATACACTATCATTATTCTATTACTTTATGATTTTGCAAAGCCCATCCATTACCTGAATCATCAATGATCATTATTTTCTTAATTACTTGTAATTGATGATTATAACCCCAGCTCTACCAATATTTGAAAAGCTTTGTCATGTCTTGATGTACGCTTTATCTTTACTAATATTTACATCCTAATAACATGTATTCTCCTGTTTTTAGGTGTCTGCTTTTTTATAGCTATCCTTGTTCTCACCATTCTAATCCAATTTTTGCTCAAAAAATTCTTAAAGTATTTTTCCATTTCTTTCTTACTTCTCTAGTCTTTAAGACTTCTTGATTAGTATCTGATCGTTTTTTTACATCCAAAGAATTTGTAGCATACTGGGACTGCCTGTTTTGGTGTATTGTAATTCAGATTTTTTTCAAAATTCATAGTCTTTTCCCTCTCCTTTTCTTCATTTTTAATTTTGTACTCAGTATCCTTGCATTCATTTAAACCATATACTTTACGTCACTTTGTATCAATAACTACGCTTTGTAATTTTCCCACTGTTGTTTCCCACTTTTATTGTACTTTATGTAATCTTTGCATCAAGCTATTATTCATCTTGCTTTATTTCTTTTGGGCCCGAAGCCCAAAACTCTTGTAAATTTGGCAAGGCCAACTATGGCTAATGGACAATGGCTTTCTAAACTCCATATCCTGCTTTTTAGTGGAGTTTGAGCTTTTGTTTTTGCCATTTAATTAGGGGGTTAACGCTAATCTTGGCTTTTTTAAATATTATGTGCAAATGTTTTTTTTATTCTGTCATTTATAGGACATTCCAGTGGTGAAGCAATTGCATCTTTAGTGTTGATTTTTTTACTGGAAGAATTCAAACAACAAGATGAATCATATTTAAAATCTCGTTTTAAATCTCTCATGTTTGGCTTATTGCCTGTGGGTGACATTAATTTAACACAATATGTGGAGTCAATACCCGGAGCAAAGGATTGTTTCTTTAACATTGTCCAAGCTGATGATGTTATTCCAAAACTATTTGGCACTTTTAATGGTACTCAACTTGAGGTATGACTTTTTTAACTTTTTTTTCTCATCTATGATTGATTAGTTTAAAGAATAGCCCAGAAACTTATTGATTGTTTTTTGTGCCTGCATATCAAATTATGTGCATTTTTTTTAATAAAATACTTGCATTGTAAGTGCATGTCTGCAAATGATAGCGAGCAATTCATGTATATAATATAAATTTGTTGACCTGCAAAAAATAATAGCTAATTGCATTGTCTTTACAGAATCTGTTATGGGATTTTGTTGAGAGTGTCATCCAAGAGTCTATTGATACACTTGATGTAAGTTTTTCCAAATTGCTATCACAATAACAAACATAAGTCGTCTATATTCAGGTCAAGTTTTCTATAAACTTTAACCCTCAAACAAAGTCTTGCTTCAATTCTCGGTAAGTGAGTGGTTAGGTTAATCCAACTTCGTAGGATTTGACGTTTATTATTGAAAAACTCAGGAAACGTCTCATTTTAGAGGAATCAAATAATGTTAACAGATAGAAACATCAAACAAAACATCATGATGCAAAAATTTTTTAGGGTTAATCAATATTTTAAAAAATCCAGACGTTGCAATAACCAATAGTTGCCATTCTAAGAATATATCTTTTAGGGTGAAGCTAACGAGACTTTTTAGGGAAATTCATTATTGTGTGTTATGTAAAATCTAATCAAAATAAAAAAATTTAGTGGGCTAGACATTTATGTCAAAGCTTTGATATGTGCATAATATTAGAAACGAAAGCTATAAGAACATTTTATTGCAAAAATAATAAAATGTTTGTAGTAGGCACACTTCTCTTAAGATTAAACACTAGAGATTATTTCACCAGCTATGAATTCATAGACCTTTTATTCAACTGTATTTTTACAGAAGGATACGCGCATATAGCGATTGTGTTTTACCATGAAATACCCGGATTATTATTAATTGCGTGATTAAAGTGATATAGTTGCTCAACATTACATTTTTGTTTCATATATTTTTTAAAAGTAAGCCTTCATTTCTATAACATTTTTCTGAGAATGACAAGCTATATACCAACCTATGACGATAATTTTACATAAGAGGCTACTATTTTGTACACCCCTGTAAAAACAATAAAAAAACTTTATGATGTCGAAGGTATAAATGATCATTTCCATTTCTAGAGGACTGCTATATGGTTAGAGATCTGCAGTAAAAGCAGTTGGCTGTTGAGCTCAGTGAAACGGCATTTAGGTTTCTAATTTGATTTATTTTAGTACCTCTGTCAACAATCTTTTTTACCATTTTTAAAAGTATTTCTGTTACCAAGTCAAAAGGGATGTGAGATATAAAAGCATTTCCTCTTGTCGAAAATATTTTTATATTAGAGGTAATATCTCATGATTTTATTTCCAAACAATTTTCAGTTTTTGAAGAAAATGCCCAATGGCTACTTTTTGCTCATACAAGTTGCGCATTTACGCATTCACTCAAACTCCGCAAATGTTTCTTTGCAAATAAGCATCATTATATCTAAACAAACAATTTTGAGAATTTGAATTTTTGCAAATAAGCAATTTGATTCATATTATTTATACGATTCTATTTGTAACAACAGTGAGAAAAGCAACACAAAAATTTTATATATAGCTAGCTGCAGATCAACGTAAACTCAGTTCTTCAGTTTGACTCAAAAACTTTATGTTAGACACAATTTCATCAACAAATAGGAGTTAGGAGTGTACCCCATTTACCCAAATATTTTCAACACTCAATACGTCTCTAACTGTTTGGAAATTTTTCAAAATGCATTGCCGATCTTTAGACTTGTCTTTATAATGTTCAGTTTCGCTTGCTCGGAACATTATTTGCATGTAATAGTGTATGTAAAATTCATCCAACTACTTGAATTTTTTGTATTTTTTAGGACCCTTTTTCCGATGTTAAAAAGTTTTTTAAAATGATTGTTGAGGAAGCAAAGCGTGCAAGCCTGTTCTGAGAAATTTAACTGGCTTCGATCGCTTGAGTATTTTTGGAATTTATTATATCCTTGAAAAAAAGTCCAATGGATCGAAGTTTGAGGTTTTGACTGCATCAGAGGCTAAAATAAGCGGCTTAAACATTATCATCAACGTATGTTGATGATAATGTTTAAGCCGCTTATTTGGGCATATGATTTATCAATATGCTGCAATTCAACATAACAAACTCATCCCTGCACTTGCGATTAGAAAGTTTCATGAGGAATATAATCAATTAATCAGCAATACAACTCGTCATAGCTTGATTTCTTGAAGCCCTTTTAAGTGCATTAAGGAAAATATTTGATTTACTTTTTCGACAGCATAGCCTTGAAAGGTACGTGCACGAAGTTGAACTGGCTTTTGTCAGAGGTCAGCTTCCTGACCTAGCCTGTTACAAACGGACAAGCAACAATACTATCGACGTCAATGAAATCATTCCAAAAATATCTGGTGTTCATTTCGAAAATATCGGTGAAGAGGTTATCATTAAGGTATCTGGTAACGACATGTGGTTCGTACACCAGACGTCTGTCACAACAGCTCATTTTGATGGTGACAATTTGCCTGTGGACTTCGTTAGATCGACTGGTTCTCAAGTTCAAACAAGAATAAAGAAAAAGAGCATCATCTACGATGAAAACGTATGTGTTCGGATGAAGACACATTTCGAAAATTCCAAGTATCTCGAGTCATTTACTGTTCCTGCAAAGACAACGGTACGTGAAAATCATGAATTGTCAAGTAATTTGCACGGGCTATAAAGGTATCCTGGTCAAAAATATATGTTGAATGAATTCGAAACTAAAATAAGATAAATTGAAATTGACCAGGGTTGTGGTTGAAATCCTGGTAATTTCAGAATCACTTAAGCAGGATACTGGTTGAAGAAACATTCAAAATCGCGAAGCACATACTTAATACGGTAGAAAAAGTTAAAATTGGTTTAATTTAACAAGGAATACTGGTTGATCAATTTAACCAGAATAACGTTGGTCAACTTTACCATATAGTGTTGGTCCATATGAAATAATTTCTTGGTTGAAATTTTACCCCAGAGTGTGTGTGTCTACATCTCTTGAGAAATGATAACACAATTAATCCTCTTCATTAAATAATTTAATTTTAGACCTATTCTATTACTCGAAGGCAACAACAACTTGCTAAACTTCGTCCTTCCGAAGTTATTGAATTGGCGTATATAAGTGCTCTGCTGGAAAAAACGCACAAAGCTAATTGCTCCATTAAAATGAAATCCATCCAAGACTTTTTAAAAAATGCTGTGTCTGTGGTGCCAATTGAAAGTCTTTTTCATACTATTGTTGAGAGTGAACTAAGTGTAATGCTGGATTGCTGCCAAATTTTGTCTAATTGCAAAAGTATTCCAATGGCGGTTGCAGACTCCGAATTTTCAGAAAATGCTATAAAAAATGCATTGTTTCATTTGCGTTCTAATCAGTCTATGATGAAGAGCGTTCGTCCTGATTTGGCTCCTAGTGACAAATATTTTGCCTTTTGGCTTTTGCATACACAACTCAGATATCCATTTTACAAGTTTGAAAATGATAATTCTCCTAAACAAGTATTTATCGAACGAGTTCCATTGGAAATGGTTAATCCTTTACTGAACAAGGGTATTTCGAGCGTTGTCACAATTCTAAAGCGTTCAAAACGTCGCCGCAAAAGAAATTCTGCAAGGAAACGAGTGCTTCTCTGTAAAACTGATCTTAAGGTGCTTTTTCCATCTTCTGAGTGCCAAGACAAAGAAAAATCAAACACGTGTACTAGATCGCCAATAACTTTGCTGATTGAAGGGAAAAAAATAATTGAAGTGTTAAGCGAAGAATTAACATCAGATGCATCATCACTTTCTTCTGGAGTTTCTTCTTCTTCCATGAACAGTAAGATGCTGGATATTTTAACTGTTTTACGGAGTGAATTCAAGACCTGTAGCAGCTTGCTTGGTGCTTTCATGCAATCTCAAGTGCAGATTCCTCTCGAAAAAGCTGGTAATGATAGTTATGTGAATGAGTTGGCCAAACATGCTAATTCATTTGGATTATCCGTTTGGGGACTGCTGATAATGCCTTTCAACTATTTGGAGCGTATGATGAAATCATCTGGAGAGTTTGAACAGCTTTTTATAAAATTTTCTCATCGCATTAATGATGTTGGCCACTTTATTTCCTCTGTCGAAAGGTATCAGTTTCCTGACTACGATGAGAAGTTAGAATTTGTTGTTGGTAGCATGAAACAAGGGGTTAGTTGCAATCAGAAGTGTATTAGTTACTCTCTCGAACGCCAGATGGAGCGTCAGTGTAGAAAAAGGAACATATTTCATTACACATCAATAGAAAGTATTCTTCAACAATGAAACGCTAATTTTAAGAACGAAAATATAACGTTTGTACCAAATGAATATCGCCCACTGGTTGCTCGCTGGATTAAATGGTCTTTGATGATTAATAAACTTCGGGAGACGTTAGCCAGTCAAACTTCTATTGGTGTTGTTGGACTGATAAACTCTGGAAAATCAAAACTTGTTAGCTCAATGTTTGAAGTAATGGTAAGCACTGTTGTTGAGGTCAACATTATCCATTTTATCTCGTTTGTTCCACTACCTTTGTGTGTGATTGGGTCATTAAAAAATGACTAGTGTTGTTGTGCTATTGTGCATATTTATCGATCCTTTGATACTTTTTAGAGCTTTAATTAAGCGACATTAGTTTCATATAGGTTTTATTAGTCGTTTGTGGTTATAATAATATACTTTGATATATTTCTCGACTGTGATTAGTTCATTGCAGTGCAGTTAATCTGTACTTCCACTGTGAAAATGTGTAGTTGCACTGTAAATTTCGTAAACTGATTAGCTGAAAAGCAGTGAAAGCCAAAAAAGAAAATTCTTTTCAATTAAAAAAAAACATGGCAGGAGTTGTAAGTAAACATAGATTTCCACAACTGCAATCATTTGAAACTCAAGAATTAGCTACAAAAGAATGCAAAGAATAGAAATAAAACAGCAGGCACTGTTTTTTTTTAATGAATTTTTGTAACAGCTATGCCGCGTAACGAGGCATTTATGAAGCGATAGAGAGTACGAAGCGATCGAGACAGAGTTGGACGGTACAGTCAAGAAATATCTGAAAGTATCTTGTTATTAAGTAATAGTATAATTTCTCGTACAATTACGGCTAAACATACACTGGTTAGTTTTTAAAAGACCTCAAGTAGCACTCGTCCTTTGGACTCGCCCTATTTCGCTGCAGTTTTTAAAAACACACTCGTGCATGTTTATACGTCATTGCACTGGAAAGTGGAAACTATACTATTACCTATACTAATAGTTCCATTACGTTTGTTATAGTAAAGAAAACCGCTTAACAATTATATGTGTGTTGTAGACGGTGACAGGCACCACAGATCAGAAGCGAACCACCGTTCCGTTGATTTACAACTTGGATAAGCACTTAAAAGGTTTAGATGTCATTGATTTTCCTGGTGTGGATGATCGTGATGAGACAATTCCTGAGTTGGCAAAATTGTTTTATTAAGTTTGACTCGGATTGTTGTATTTGTTGTTGACTACAGGTAACGTGGCTTAAAAATGTTTGGTGTAAACAATTTTTTTATTTGATTGACCAATCTTATTGTTTGGTTTCATCTTAGAAAAGCTCATTCCGAGTCATCAAAACAATGGCTTTCCATACTCGAGAAAGAAAACGTACCTGTTCTTGTTTGTTTAACATTTGGTGACAGACTTTTTGTTGAATTAATGGTTGAAAAGGGAAATTGTGACGTTGACACGATAAAAGCGGGCGTGGAAAATGAAGTGGAAGTACTAGATAAGTTCTTTGTTGTTAACTATGTAATATAAACGTTTCGCCTATTTATTGGCTTGCGTTTTCCTTAAATTGGTCTTTAAGCTGAACTATTATATGTTGACGCTTTTCTTTTACAAATCACATGTAGATATTTGTGTGCAAGTACTCACTCTTATTTTAACTTTGCGAAATGTAGCGAATATCCGGTTAAATTGAAGATGTTTACTTGACGTGGACATTTATTTATATTTAGACAATCAAAAAGAAAATTGGATTTCCAGAAAGCAGCCATCAACGTGATTTTAAACTGTCAGTGTTGTCCTTTGACTACGATTCCTACCTCAATTCTGAGGAGTGGAAAGCAAAGCTGCGTAAAGTTGGTCTTTGTGATGAACTTGATGTGGGTCGTTGGATCGCAGAGAAATTGGAGGATCAGTACGAGCTACATGATCTCTCACAGACTTTTTTAAAATATATCGAGAACAAAGAAAGCAGCACTTTACATCTATGTCTGGTAATTTAGCTTAAATATATTTCAATCATACCAAAAAATACATTTTTTATCGAAATTTATTTTTCATAGAAAGTACATTTATTTTTAAAGCAAAACAAGGAAACGATAAAGACTAAAAAACAAAGAAAAAGTGGGAAGAAAGCAAAAGAAAAGGAGTGAGTATGAACATATTATAAACCTATCATTTAACACAGGTTGCACGTCATTTCATGTTGATTACGAGATAAATGAACATGTCATATCTATAGGTGGACGGGTTACAATGTGGCCTCGATAATTGTGTCGGCCAACATTCATATATTGATTTGCAATCATATATTTTAATTAATGCATTAGGTTCATTTGAAATCAATTGCTTTCTACCAATTATAATTTTTTATAGTTAGTTGACCGAAAAATTGTACATTTTAAATTTTTAGAAAATGAAATCAATTCATGAAGATTTTTATCAAACAATCGAGCATCTGTAACCTCTAACACTCGTTGTTACGGAAACATGCATTGAATTTACAATTTACAACTATAGTACTCTTTTCAGATAGGCTTAGCTATGTTAATGAATTTGACTCATGTGTTATTGTTCCAATATAATAAGACGACGATGTTTTCAATGAAACAGAAGTGTTGATACGTGAAAGCACATTCATCCATCGAAACCTATTCAAAAAGTTAATGATTTGAAAATTCTATGTCTAAATTATATTTTAATGAAAAGAAAGCTTTTCTTTAGCAGAGAACGCACGTTTCTATTTGTTTTCAATTTAAATAGGTTTTTCATCTTTGATTTGTTCATTTTGCATTGCATAATGAACCGGTGGAATATATCAAATATCCTTCGCTTTCCTTGAATGCAAAGTTTTGCACGAATGCCTTGAGTTTTAAACCATTGACACTTTACAACAAAGAGAACACAATAGTGACAAAAATTCAGTTTAAGAAGGTGGAGGTCAAAGCATTTTTTTTTAACCAAAACTTTGAAATATTTTTGCACAGAATTTTTTGCACAAAAGTTGTATCCAAATTTCCTTGATTTGAAACAAAATGTCATAAATTATTTTATTTATCTGTTTTTAAAGATCGATTCACTGAAATTAGGATCGATGGAGGCTTTCCTTGAGTATATATAACAACAGCAAGCGCACAGAAAGGAAGTACATTAAAGATAATTAAGTCTGTGAATGAATTGCCCATTGGAATTCCTCGTGCCCCAACATCATATTTCTCGTCTTCAATATATATTTAGTTGTTTTCACATTTCCCAAATAACTTAAATCTCCAACGAATTATCAATTTTATACAAAAGGTGGATTTTGTGCAATGTATCCTACTAATGTTATGTCATACACAAATAAACAGGACTCATAGTAAGTAGTACTAACTACTAACTAAAATGCCTATCTATATCTTTTGCCAATCTATATTCATAGTCTGATAGACGCAAAGTATGCAAAAGTGGATTACTGGGAATATAACCTCTGCATTACTTGTGAGAATGTTTTTAAAATTTAATGATTTTCATTTCAACTATGCAAACGTTTTCCTGCCTGGTCATGCAAACCATTTGGGTAGCTATGTAAAAATTTGAGTTATCCCTTTAAAATATGTTTTCTATTCGTTTAACCTGACAAAGAGGTGAAAAATATGATTTCGACTAAATATTTCTACTCCTGTAAATGCATAGAATCCAATTGTAGCCTTGCATTTCTTTCAAACCCAAAGGAGTGTTCAAAGGATTGATGACCTGTGTTGTGACCATGAAGAGGCTGATACACAAGTGTTATTACATGCATCTCATGCAACAACATTTCAGAGCATTGTTATCAAAAGTCCTGATACTGATGTTTTTATTTTATTGATATATTTTTGTTTAGATATAAATCTGCCACATTATTTTTTTTAACTGGCGCTAAAGAAAATGCTAGTCTCATGCATGTTGCCAAAATTGTCTAAGGTTTGAGTAAGAGTAAATGCAAGGCTTTAATTGGATTCCCATGCATTTACAGGTGAGTACATGAATCTAATAAAGTCCAGGCAATTTAAAAAATTAGCACTGCTCATTAAGAAAACCTGGTCTCATTACTAGGTTTCTTTAAAATAATTTGAAAAATAACTGGTATTTATTTGTTTTTATTGGTATGCTCTGACACAACCAGTTTATTTTGTGAACATAGTAATGTGTCCAGTTGTAAACTTCTGTCAGAAGATGCCCAAGCTGTCAAAGCTCTTCGAGAACTTGGAGAATATTTTGTAAGCACTAAAGAACTTCACAAGAGGCTGGAGGAGGTAAAATGTAAGATTTACCACTCAATGGCATGGGGGAATTGTCATTATATTGTTATTTTTATATTTGTATCCCATTTGTATTCTCAGCGTAATTTTGAGAGATGTATCCACGAGGTTGAGCTGCTTTGAGAAAGCATTGCCTTCCGATCTATCTTTTGAAGAGAAATACCATTTTTTCGTTTATCGATTTTATAAAACACCGACTTCATGCAAATCGCCCACATGGAAACGGAACAGATTAATTTTTTTCCTCAAGAAAATACGGAACTACGACCCAATCCTATGTTGCGATGGGGTGATGTTAAGTACTTACTGAATAAGACTAATGCACTCCTTGTTTGTCTTCTTCATGAAGACGTTCCTCGACCAAGATTCGGAGGAAGTGCAAAAAGAACAACTTTTCCTGCATGTGAGACAGACCTACAGGTGATTTATCCATCTTCGGATAAGTTTGGCGAAAGCAAGACGAAGATTCGTTGTAGTAAAGCTCCAATCACATTGCTAATCGATGGTAAAGAAAGAATCCAACAACTGAGTAAAAAACTAAATGTGGAGAGCTCCTTTTGTAACGCGAATAACGAGATGCTGAACGTTTTAGATGACTTGCTTATTGAGTTTGAGACTTGCAATGCTCTACTTGGTGAATTCATGCAATCCCAAGTTTTACATCCCTCTCGAGCAAGCTGGTAACGACAAGTACGTTGATGAATTTGCCAGACACGATGCCAACTCAAGGGGTTTATCTGTGTGGGCATTGTTGAATGTGCCGTTTAACTATTTGCAGCAAATGGTAAGATCATCTGGAAGGTTTGGAAAAATTGTCATTGAATTCTCTCGTCGCATTAACGATTTTCGGGAGTACATATTTCCTTCCGAGGAACTCGAGTTTCCTGACTACGAGTTTCCTAATTATTTGGGGGGGGGCGACCATTAAATTTTATTATTTTAGGACGTGTTCCACTTGCATCCCCGTTTTCTATGCCCTTGGCGAGACGTAAGCTGTCCTAGAAATGCATTTTGAAATATTTTTATGGTTTGTTCGATATGTAGGCAATCTATGTGATGCCTTCGTCGTCCGCACGAACGATGATCTATCCTAGAAAATCAGATAAATTACAGTTTTACTTGGAGCTGAAGAAATTGAAGGATGAACTCAAGGCTGAAGGCAATTGCATAGACTAAATAAAAGTAGATGATTGGTTGTACCTACCTATTGAAGTATTCAGTTGGAAAGATTTTAGTCCTGGAATCTTTCTTACATTAATTGACTTTCATAAAGTTTCGTGTAAAATTAGTTTTAACATAAAACTTCAAGTTCCTGTATGACGAAATTTACTAATGCAAAGATGAAATTTATCATATGCATAACACGCCTTTCGAAGAACTTGATTTCGAACAGCTTTAGTGCATGCTTTCTTCCGCCAAGGCTTTCTCCTCAGCAACAGTTTGTAAGAAGTTAACTTCCAATTTATCTCAAGTTAAAAGCCTTTCGTCTTTGTGGCAGTTTTCCACGCATAAAAGTCCCCAGTTTTCATTTAGTGTTTATTTTATAAACATGAGCATTATACCAGAGAAGAGGGAGAGGGGGGATCAATCCAAGTTATCAGTTACTCTATTGTCACTGCTCGAACGCTATGTGAAACGCCTGGGTACATCAAATTAGTTTTAATACATCGTATGTGATTGGAGTTATGAAAATTATTGTTTTGTCTAAATTTCTTTTGCGAGATTATGGTGGAATGACAGCATATTTAGCAAAAGTTTCTCTTAGCAGGTTGTTAAGAAAAAACCGACACAAAAAGCCCGTTGCGGAACTGATCGGTTTTTTTCAACGTCGAACTTCTTTTAAATGACTTTGTCTTTCTTCATAACAAACTGTGCTTTTAAAAGCATTGAAGAAAGATCAATATGCGAGCCAATATAGAGTTTTTTTGCACAAGTTTTCTGCTAGAAAAATAATTGTGCGATTTTTTTGAATGTGCATTACTATATGTGACAGTCGCTCTATATAATAATATGCTTAGAAAACCATCGAAAACGCACATTTTGTCAGTTTTGTGATATCGATAACTAGCCATTGAATGAACATAAATACATAGGCCTGAACTGTGACGTAGCTGCGGTAATTGTCACTCGCCTTATCGTCTCAATTTGTCCAGATGTCTGAAACAGCCACAGAGATTGTCGTGAATGTATGGTTTTAGGTTTGCGCGACTTTTGATGGAATAAAACACACGAGTAAAATACTTGAACAGGTGTGTCAATAGAGTAATAATTTTTTAGGACAACGTGCGAAAGAGTTCGTCAGGTTACGACTTTTTATGAACATCATGTATTTTGAGTAAAAGGACATCGAAATTTTCTTAGTCGCGACCATCGTTGTGCCCATGCATGTTGATTGAGCGATGGTGCATGTTTCTCCAACCCTCAGTATCCTTGTATGTACGAAAAGATAAGATCCATGAAAAACAGAAATGGAAAAGATATACTTATGTCTTTTGACTTGCGCATTAGATTAGTAATTTTTTATAAAGGACCGTGACTTTGGGTTAGGAGTAACAGCTTTTAAACATTTCAAAGATCAGTCATGTTAAACTGAATTGTTGAATACCTTACGAATGTTGTTCTCAATTTGTCTAAGTTGCAATGGTGATGTCCTATAAACAGAAAATCGATCCAATAATTTTTAAATTCACATTGTTTTTTGCGTGCTGATGCAACAGTTTGTAT